ACAAAACGCATTTGACTAGGAGGTCGAACAACTGGTGTTCTTAAACCCTGCTGACTGCCATTGGCGATTGCCAAATAAATGGATCACAAGATGTAACAAAACAGATCTTATTAAATTATTACCAAACAGAAAACAATAAACTTGCGGAAAAGATGGTATACCGCAAACATGCATGAGGTGCAAAAATTTGTACAGCATATCCGGATTTCGACAATTAATGTCTCTTCAGTAATGTTAGGAATCGAAAAGGTATTTGGAAGGCCATATAATTTACCTCAATTTAGGATAGACTCTTTAATTTTGAAAGAGTCAAAATAGGATGAACGGATCATATAAACCCGAAGGCAAATATAATACAAGCCCAAACGAAAAAATATAAACAAGTCTAAATTGAAAACAACGTTCAAACCTATGATTGCGTTGGATAAAAACCGCAATTTTTATAAGTGTGCATGCAAACCAAATTTCTTGGTAGAGGGGTCTAAATACAGCTTAAACAACATTTTCCAAAAGACCAAATGAGTGAACAAGTATATTTTAACAAAACGCATTTGACTAGCAGGTCGAACAACTGATGTTCTTAAACCCTGCTGACTGCCATTGGCGATTGCCAAATAAACGGATCACAAGATGTAACAAAACAGATCTTATTAAATTATTACCAAACAGAAAACAATAAACTTGCGGAAAAGATTGTATATCGCAAACATGCATGAGGTGCAAAAATTTGTACACCATATCCGGATTTCGACAATTTATGTCTCTTCAGTGATGTTAGGAATCGAAAAGGTATTTGGAAGGCTATATAATTTACCTCAATTTAGGATAGACTCTTTAATTTTAAAAGAGTCAAAATAGGATGAACGGATCATATAAACCCGAAGGCAAATATAATACAAGCCCAAACGAAAAAATATAAACAAGTCTAAATTGAAAACAACGTTCAAACCTATGATTGCATTGCATAAAAACCGCAATTTTTATACGTGTGCGTGCAAACCAAATTTCTTGGTAGAGGGGTCTAAATACGGCACAAACAACATTTTCCAAAAGACCAAATGAGTGAAAAAGTATATTTTAACAAAACGCATTTGACTAGCAGGTCGAACAACTGATGTTCTTAAACCCTGCTGACTGCAATTGGCGATTGCCAAATAAACGGATCACAAGATGTAACAAAACAGATCTTATTAAATAATTACCAAACAGAAAACAATAAACTTGCGGAAAAGATTGTATATCGCAAACATGCATGAGGTGCAAAAATTTGTACACCATATCCGGATTTCGACAATTTATGTCTCTTCAGTGATGTTAGGAATCGAAAAGGTATTTGGAAGGCTATATAATTTACCTCAATTTAGGATAGACTCTTGAATTTTGAAAAAGTCAAAATAGGATGAACGGATCATATAAACCCGAAGGCAAATATAATACAAGCCCAAACGAAAAAATATAAACAAGTCTAAATTGAAAACAACGTTCAAACCTATAATTGCGATGGATAAAAACCGCAATTTTTATACGTGTGCATGCAAACCAAATGTCTTGGTAGAGGGGTCTAAATACAGCACAAACAACATTTTCCAAGAGACCAAATGAGTGAAAAAGTATATTTTAACAAAACGCATTTGACTAGCAGGTCGAACAACTGATGTTCTTAAACCCTGCTGACTGCCATTGGCGATTGCCAAAATAAACGGATCACAAGATGTAACAAAACAGATCTTATTAAATTATTACCAAACAGAAAACAATAAACTTGCGGAAAAGATGGTATAGCGGAAACATGCATGAGGTGCAAAAATTTGTACACCATATCCGGATTTTGACAAGTAATGTCTCTTCAGTGATGTTAAGAATCGAAAAGGTATTTGGAAGGCCATATAATTTACCTCAATTTAGGATAGACTCTTGAATTTTGAAAGAGTCAAAATAGGATGAACGGATCATATAAACCCGAAGGCAAATATAATAAAAGCCCAAACGAAAAAATATAAACAAGTTTAAATTGAAAACAACGTTCAAACCTATGATTGCGTTGGATAAAAACCGCAATTTTTATACGTGTGCATGCAAACCAAATTTCTTGGTAGAGGGGTCTAAATACAGCACAAACAACATTTTCCAAAAGACCAAATGAGTGAAAAAGTATATTTTAACAAAACGCATTTGACTAGCAGGTCGAACAACTGATGTTCTTAAACCCTGCTGACTGCCATTGGCGATTGCCAAATAAACGGATCACAAGATGTAACAAAACAGATCTTATTAAAAAATTACCAAACAGAAAACAATAAACTTGCGGAAAAGATGGTATACCGCAAACATGCATGAGGTGCAAAAATTTGTACACCATATCCGGACTTCGACAATTAATGTCTCTTCAGTGATGTTAGGAATCGAAAAAATATAAACAAGTCTAAATTGAAAACAACGTTCTAACCTATGATTGCATTGGATAAAAACCGCAATTTTTATACGTGTGCATGCACACCGAATTTCTTGGTAGAGGGGTCTGAATACAGCACAAACAACATTTTCCAAAAGACCACATGAGTGAAAAAGTATATTTTAACAAAACGCATTTGACAAGCAGGTCGAACAACTGATGTTCTTAAACCCTGCTGACTGTCATTAGCGATTGCCAAATAAACGGATCACAAGATGTAAGGAAATAGATCTTATTATTAATTTATTACCAAACAGAAAAGAATAAACTTGCGGAAAAGATGGTATACCGAAAACATGCATGAGGTGCAAAAAATCCGGACTTCGACAATTAATGTCACTTCAGTGATGTTAGGAATCGAAAAGGTATTTGGAAGGCTATACAATTTACCTCAATTTAGGATAGACTCTTTAATTTTGAAAGAGTCAAAATAGGATGAACGGATCATATAAACCCGAAGGCAAATATAATACAAGCCGAAACGAAAAAATATAAACAAGTCTAAATTGAAAACAACGTTAGAACCTATGATTGAGTTGGATAAAAACCGCAATTTTTATACGTGTGCATGCAAACCAAATTTCTTGGTAGAGGGGTCTGAATAAAGCACAAACAACGACCTGCTAGTCAAATGCGTTTTGTTAAAATATACCTTTTCACGCATTTGGTCTTTTGGAAAATATTGTCTATTGTCTCCGCCTGTTGAACTTCCTTTCTAACCTTGTCAAGATAAATAAAAGTCGCTAGTTCTATAATTTTTTTCAAAGCCTGTCTTAAAAGCGCCTTGCCTACCGACTTTTCAAAATAACATTATCTGTTCTTTCATTTTAAAGTTTACTTAATGGTGTTTTTTTACAATTTGAAAACAAATTTAGAAAAAAAATGATAATACTGCTAAGAAAAACTCAAATTTAATTAAGTACGATACTTACCCGATGTGTGCCTTAAAAATCGTTTTCAACAATGTGAACTGTTTTGCTTACATTTAAATTTAATGGCTGAATTACACAACAGATTCCTGTCTTTGGTGTCCTCTCTCACTTTTTAAATCTTAATCTGTGTTAAGCAATATATTTCGATAGGCACAATTTAAAGCTTTCAGAAACGCTTATTCGTAAGAAAACATGTAAACTGTTGCTGTTTATGCAAATCATTATTCTGTGAATCATACACCGACCAAATCCTCATCATAATACCTTTCTAATCGGTATACTAAATGTCATGCCATTATCTTGACAGAAAGAATAATCATGGGGATTCTGATCAACCAAATTTGTTCTCAAAATTGAAAACGCTGTTTTAGGAATAATTGTAACTATGAACAATGCATTTTTTCTTAATTTTTTTTTTTTTTTTTTGTGTCAGTTTGATCATTTTTTTCTCGCCAATGAGATTGTATATAAAAATAAACAATAAAATTGTCCAATATAACTTTAAGGACATAACGGGTTTCAAGTCCAGTTATAATTCATCCACATCCAATTGAAGAACACAGTTAGTGTTTACTAACAGATCAATCTTAAAATATATTACCAGGTATTTATAAGGTATTCTGGAAAGTAAGTAGCTGTTGTTTGTCTTTTCGTCGTTTTTCGTTTTTTTACCATAGCATGGTCAGTTTGTTTTCGATTTATGAGTTTGAATTTACCCTTGGAATATGCCGCCTCACTTTTTATAACAAAAGTTAGACTATATTTGATATTTTTAGAAAAAACATTTAACTCTGTACTGATGATTATTCAGAACTGTATGGGCCATTAACCCTTTGATATTCTTAAAGGTCAATTTGATCGATAGGCTAGTTTTGGACGATTAGTTTACATGAAGTCTTGTATCTTTGACATTTTTTGACGTACAGATGTGGTAAATGGCTCAAATCAATACTCGGAATACCCAGCAACATGATTTCATATGCCTGACACTACTTATATGCATGTGTTACGTCAATTTGCTTCTAATTGTTTTTATTGAAAATTATGAATGACAAAGTTTCATAGAATATTGTAACGTATATCATTGATTTGAAGAAATATATAACTCTTTTTGTTAATTGTGCCTTTTTTTTTTTTGCTTACAAACAAACGATGAAAACTATAATAAAAACCTGTACATACGTAAAATATTTTATTCTGAGCGTATCAGCATTATGAGAAACTCAAAACGCAATAGAAACTCGTGTTTCTTCGTGTCAGTTTTTTTTTGGGGGCAAAAGAGATAAAAAAAAATCTATAATGTCCCAAAAATTGCTAGCGGAGTTGGAATAGTAGTAACAAAACTTTGTTTCTTTAGTGCTTAATTATGAGTATGTTGAAAACCCTATCGCTCAAATGAAGGAATAGATATATATCAATGAAAAACCAACAAAACGCTTGAAATAACTCTTAATTTCATGGTTGAAGCATTCAAATGTAACTATAAGAATTGTTAAAAATGTCGTTTTATTTCAGACATAGGTATGCAGAATCAAAGACCGTTTAAACATACGGAAATATGTGATGGACATGAGAATAACCAATCTAGATGGGACTACAGATATAACGTGTATAACGTTAATGAAGATATAAAACCCGGTAAAAAAATATTTTACCTAGCATATACTAGTATACATTACTTACGCATTTGCACATCCGTGAAATGAATAGATCAAAAGAGAAATATATAATATATAACGTCTTAACATAGTCGATGAAAAGAACGAATATATCGTCTTTTGGATTTCCTGATACGTTTACTAATATTTGTCTTGCATAATAAGAAAATTGCTAATACATTTTGTTAAAGATTTATCCCTCATTAAATCACGAAGACAATACACCTGTCAATATTCTGCATTTTAAATCATAACTGCATGACGTATAACAGGGGGGTGTCCATTATTCACATTTAAAGAGAGATAGAAGATACCAAAGGAATCTTCAAACTCAAAACTCTAAAACGAACTGATAATAATGCCATCAAAATAAACGTAAAACGACAAAAATAACTGTCTTAGAAACATAACATAGACAACGTTAGACTGGACAACACGAAATACACAAAAAACCGAAGGGGCTGAAGAGACGATTTCAATTTTGCACAAAAGAAAGTTGTTGCTACTAGATATTGTTGTACCTCATGAAAATAAGTTATCAATATTCAACCACCGGACAGGTGTCAATCAGAATTCTGAAGAAAAAAACATCTATATAGATCATCACCAAATTGGTCATTAATAATATTTGCTATATTAATAACTGTTTTGACCTTTTCTTACACTTTACTTCGAAAAATAACTATATCAATGCCCATATAAAGATCGACTCTTCTCATCAATATGGCTATTGTACATGTAAGTTTAACATGTTTAAGGTCATCAAAATTGTTACTTGGAAGAAAAGGAATTATTTAAGTTGCGTTAATTGTCGAAATAGAAAACCAAACACGTTGTAAAATGTATAAGACTACGTCACTATACAAATTCCAGCTTATATGAAATGCAGTATTTTTGAAGGCCACATTTTGAAAGTATGTTAGTTATAATGTTTAAAAAATGTATTGCTGAACATCCGAAAGACAACACCTTATAAAGGGTGCTTGTAGAGCATAGAGATTAAACTGCATCAAGAAAAATATAGGTAATATTCTATTTAGGGAACATATTGTATAAACTTATATGTCAATTCAAAGATTTTCACTTTTACAAATATCAACAAATATTTAAAATATATGGTTAAATAACAAGATAAAATGTTTTCAAATAAATGTAATTTTAGCACCTTGTATGGGAATGTATATTTCTCAAAGAAGTGATGACAGAGGACACGTTAAGCAAGAGCTGTCTCAAGGTAAGAGTACATATCTGCAATTTGTCACAGTCAAAACGAGAGAGCTTTGATCCTTTAATTTTTACGAAGTAAATTAGCAATCAAAAGCTCTACCAATTATAGAATTGTACATTCTGGTTGTTATTGAACACTGACCAACAACAATATGCTGACATTAAACATGTAAAAACACCACAATACACTACACATAAAACCAAAGATTGAAAATATCGAAAACCGTGGTAACAAAAGTGCCCAGCAAAGTCTAGCAGTCAAGGCCATCGTGTTGTTTGTACTGCTCGTCTGAAGTAAAATTCATATATAGCTCGCCACTGGTTATATGAATAACATCAGTGTTGGATTGTTGCTACTCCAAAATGAAAAGATCCTTTATCATCTGTTTCAAACGTAGATCATATATACTTCGATCTCACATTTAAATCGTGATAGCTTTAATACAAGTTCAATAAATTACATTTCATGAACCAACGAACACACATTGTTTTAACATTAACAGTAGATGTGTTTTACAAGAAACCACCAGAGACAAAAAAGTGCGCTATAGGTCACCATGCCGCCTTCACCAATTTCCGACAAATGCAGTATTTTAATTTTCACTTATTTTCATATAAACTTTGTGAATTTAATTCGCCGATATGTGTTTCAACTTATAAACAGTAATAGAGTTCACTTACACACATTGCTATGCGTCATGTAACACACATGTTGTAAATTTAAAGCATATTAATATCCTATAAGTTGATAAAAGCCTGTCAAAATTGGTGTCTTCTCTCATATGCATGTCAATCATTAAAATATGTGTTTCTTTATTTTTTTTAAATGCAGTGACGTTAAGTTTAACATTTCTTTCATATAGTAGGATTTACAGTTTTAAGCCAACAGTGAATAATGTTAATATTATATTCTAATCAATTACATTTCTTTTGTTCGAAGCGATAGAGGGTCTTGGGTCTTCCCTGGAAATTCCTTTAGATTTATACGCAGCTTCGTTTTTTGTGTGAGGGTTTTACGCTCCTGGTTACATACCTTAGAATCTGTTGCAGATAGTTTTGTTCGTACGTTCATTGATATAGATCATATTACCCAACTAGGGGGGAAAATACCAATGTTTGTACCTCGAGTGTGGTGGCATCGATTCACTAGCATGGTCTGTAACTTTATATCGATTGGGTTCTATTGCAGATCGTAACAAGTCTGGAATTGCTTTCAGTGTAATACAGACATAAGCAGAGCACGATTATCTGTCTGGACATATCCGGTCTCTTTCAGATTGGGGATACTTATTTGCCATAAGTTTTTTTTTTTCTCATGCTTTGAATCCTCAAAAATATGGCTTTAATCAAAAGGATAGTCAATCGTGTTACGCTAAGCTCTTAGAACAGAACTAATAAATACAGGTAACAATGTTTAACTTTGACTCAAAATGTCGAATGTCTGTATATAGTGATCCTGCGAACTATTAACACATTGTTCAGCTTGTAGTTTCATAAGACAGGACTCCCTTCGAATCTTATCATTCATTGTTTCAAATGCAGATATTTTGAAGTTTTAACGAAATCAATTTAAATCGGGATTTGTTCCATGTATATTACACATATTCCTCTAAGCATTTTGACTGTCATTTAAAAAATGGCATCCCACGGATAATTGGTTGACTTGGGAATATACATATGTTACTTTGTAACAACATGAGCAACACGACGGGTGCCACATTTGGAACAGGATCTGCTTCCCCTTCCGTAGCACCTGAAATCGTCCCTAGTTTTTGGTGGGGTCCGTGTTGTTTTTGTACCCCTATTTGTGACATTTTGTTTATGCACCATTGTCAATATAATGGGAATTGATGCGACTGTCGTACAAGTGAGAGGTTTAGCGCTATAAAACCAGGTTCAATCCACCATTTTCTACATTTGAAAATGCCTGTACCAAGTCAGGAATATGACAGTTGTTGTCCATTCGTTTGATGTGTTTTGTCATTTGATTTTGCCATGTGATTAGGGACTTTCCGATTGAATTTTCCTCGGAGTTCAGTATTTTTGTGATTTTAGTTTTTACAATGTTCGTAAAACGATCTTAGAACACAATGACGAATCTCAAATTTTGTGATTAATTTTCTCAGTCTTTATTTTTAAAGTTTATTTTTTACTGCAAATTCCATACCGACAATCAACTTACAATAGAATAATATATCTGATTTGATTTCGTTCAAATCCTAGAACAGAAAGATGTGTCTTATAATATTGTTAATTAGAAACTAAAAACTGGAAATCAATTTGGAATTCCATATGATATCTCAATATAAATTGTTGAAATTCTGGCATATGATAATGTTTTTAGATAAAAACTTTTACCACATTTCCTCCAATTTTCATATGCCGCAACATTGAAATCTTCTGAATTAATTTGTAATAGAGGTGTAAGGAAAGGAAATTAAAAACTGCCCTGATGTTAAATAACTATACCGATACAAGATTTTACTGTGGACTTTCTCAAACTACAATTGCATTTGAAGGTATCTTAACGGCGCTTTCAACACTATTTCAGTTTCTGGATAAATCTGAAGAATCCACATGACTTAACAGGTCTAAAATACCAACAGTTACTATCGATCGGAACGGCGACTAAAAATCTGAAATTTTTTTTAACGTATTTGTCTTGCGATAAATGCAGTCGATTTAGACTTGATGAGACAAAGATTAGTTTCGGACCGCAATCGTGGTACTAGTGATCCTAATCAGTCACCATATTTACTGATTTATATTCCCGGCATATAATTTTTATTATAAAGTACAAATAAGACGATAAATACTATGATATGATTTATAGTATATTTTTTCATACACATTTACTTCTTAAACTATTGGTTGACTTATTGATTGGCATTAGTGATGACACTAGATTCCGTTTTGCTGGTTTTTTTATAGATGTTTACGGCTATCCCACGCCAAAAAAGAATATATCTAGATCAGATAGTAATATTACCTCAGATTCAGATGTATACATCCGTCCATGTGATATCAGGGAAGACGTAGACAGGAAACATACAACGGATAAATTTCAAGTTAACAAGGATAGGTGGTTGTTGAATCCGGGTATGTTATGTCTTTAATGTGAAAATATTGCTGAAATTTCTTACCTAATCATAACAATAACTAAAAAAGAGTAAATGGAGACAATAAGCTAAGAGAAGGACGAAAGCTATCTTATTCTATTAGAATACAATAGCCTTGCAAATAATCGGGCTATACATGTATATGTGAAATGTATATATTGGTAAATGTTCTCTTATTTTTGTATGTTGATATGTTACACATATGGTGTATATATTGAGAGAAAAAGGGATACGAATGAACATGTCCATTAAAACACATATATGTTTTAATGTTGCAAAAAAGTACCAACAGGTCCGTATTTCATATACACTGTTAATGTTACAAAAAGAACCAAATTCTTCCAAATCGAATGTTTATTTAGGTATAATGCAAATTGCAGGGGTTGCAATGATTTCCTGAAATAATAATTGCAAAATTTTTTATTGTCACATATTATATACACATGTGTATAACATATAAAGCGACTTTCAAACTAAAAAAAATAATGATCAAATAATGAAGGGAACAGTAATCACAATGAATCGTGAAGTAAGTCATGTCCTAATTTGCTGAAAATCGTATTTAAACGTTTCCTTAGTTATAAATAGCTGTTTAAGAAATTAAGAAAGTAATTGTACATCTGCATATACAAGATCTTTTCATTGCATATGCAACTATTGTAACATTTTCATGAAGATACCTGTTTTTAATAGTAATCGTAGGAAAAAATGTTACCCCAACATAATACATTTTCGTAAAATCTTTCAAAATATGCAGTTTACAATACGGAAAGTTATCCACGAGAAGAACGCACACAAAATTAGTCTCTTGAATATATTATTGGTGTCAATATCAAGGAAAAGACCAAGGTATGACAAAGACCTTTTAGTTTCGATAGTATCCATAAGCAGTTTGCAAGATTCTTTTCCCTTTCTCTTTAATGAGATTTGTAGATATAAGAAGATGTGGTATGAGTGCCAATGAGACAACTCTCCATCCAAGTCAAAATTTATAAAAGTAAATCATTATAGGTCAAAGTACGGTCTTCAAAATGGAGCCTTAGCTCACACCGAACAGCAAGCTATAAAGGGCCCCAAAAATTACTAGTGTAAAACCATTCAAACGGGAAAACCAACGATCTGATCTATGTAAAAAACGAGAAACGAGAAACACTTTTGAACGACATCAACAAACGACAACTACTGAACATAAGATTCATGACTTAGGACAGGTGCAAACAATTGCAGCGGGTTTAAACGTTTTAATAGTACCAAACTTTCACCCTTATCTGAAACAATAGTGTACCATCACAACATAGAAAAACACACTATAAAATATCAATTGAAATGGCTTAACTCAATCAAAAGACATATTAACACCAGTGAACATACACTGAACAAATAAATTTAATCTATGATACAATGTAAATACAAAATAAATAAACTAAGGGAAGAATAATTAAAGTAACATGGTATACCGCTGTGAAACAATATAAGAAAAACAGTATGCTTGAACAAAAATATAAGCCATTTGCAATTACTTTAAACACAGGTAAATACAAATAATTTTATTGTTAGGTATACGTGTACTGTTCAAATGGAGAAAGGAAATATTTTTACAAAATAAAAAATTTAAATGTTCATAGTACGAAGAAGTGAAAATTTATAGTAATACCAAACACTTATAACCCTGAATAACATTTAATAACATAAAAGCATTACAATTAGTATCAACAGGTCAAATAAACAAGAAAGTACGATTTGAGAGTACTCACAGTTACTGACAGCTAGTTAAAAGCCAAAAACAATTAATTATTAAAAATCATGCATCATGCATCAGAGACTAAAATCAACTAAAACACATCCCAGGGATTTAGTATTTGAACTTCATGGACAGTCAAAGAAGACATGACTTGTGCAATGCCAAAAATAAATGTATCGACAGGCAGTAGGATAGTTAGGAGTTCACCTCTTTATAGATCAAAATGAACGTGGATGTGTCTTTATACATCCCGTTTGAAAAGAATACAAATTTAGTTACGTTTTAATTTGCTGATGACAAAATCAATATTAGTGCCAATGTAAACTATATTCAAAGATCTAATTACAACATTGGTAAGATAACCTTTACTAATAAGTTTGTTTAAAGGTTCGATGAGTTTACACAGATCACATAGTGATTTCCGCGCTTTAAGTACAATATTACCGTAAAATTTAGGATGTGAAATACCGTTTTTAATCTGTTTTCTACAGGTACAGCCAAATTTACTAATCAAATCTTTGTATCTATGAAAGAATTTAGTTAAAGTTTTACGTAATTTATGGTAACGAAATCCCTGACTTAATAATTTACCAGTGATGCATTGATTACGTTCGTTAAAATCTATGACATCACTACACACACGGGTATAACGAACGAGTTGGGATATATAAACACCGTATGATGGAGCAAAGGAACATCGCCGTCTAAAAAAGGGAAATTAACAATAGGGAATGTAAAGTCGTCTCTTTTGTCGTAAATTTTAGTGTGGAGTTTTCCTTTAGAGATTGAAATGTCTAAATCTAGAAAAAGACAACTACTGCTGTTTATGTTAGATTTAGTTAAAGTAAGTTCTTTTGGGTAAATTTTGGTAGTATATTTAGAGAACTCTGGATTATTTAACGAAAAAATATCATCTCGATAACGGAAGGTATTGTTGAATGTATCAACCAAATGTAACAATGACGTGTCTTTACTGAGTTAGGTCATAAACTGAGATTCATAGCAATACAGGAATAAATCTGCTATTAAAGATGCACAGTTAGTGCCCATAGGAATACCTACTACCTGTCGATACACTTTATTGCCGAAACGTACATATATGTTGTCCAGGAGAAAATTTAAAGCTTCAATCATATCTTCACATTTCCAGTAAGTGTGTCTAGCATACTTTCCTTTTTCGACTTTAAACGAGTTACAGCAAATAAATTTTTGATGAGATTTTTCAAACGACCATTTATTTAGATTGTGTGGAAGTGCAGTATAGAGAGTAGAAAAATCATTACTGTCAACAGAATTAAAAGGACTATCAAAAGCATGTATTTTATCTAAAACCTCTAAAGAATTTTTATCACTCCAAAAATAATTAATACCATTATTTTCATAAGCTTTATTACAAAAGTTAATAACAAGTTCTTTGATTTTAGTAAGGAAGGTAGTTATAAGCACTGATAGATTGGTAGTAGAACACTTACTAGATGCGGAGATAAAACGGAATTTAAATGAATTTTGTGCAATTTAGGTAACCAGTACATAGTAGGGTTTTCAAATGTTCGGAAGAGGCTTTAAGCTGGGTAGTGGCAGTGATATGCTTGTTTTCAATTTGACTCTCTGTGAAGCGTACGGGACTGAATGCAGATGAATTTGTAATTTCGTTTTGGAGAACTTTTGAGAGTACTTGGAGTTTATTTTTTATTCTAGAAATAGGAATATCATGGACCCTATTATTAATTTCAGAATTGTTTTCAAAATGAGATATACGAATAATAACACTATTCATAATTTTATTTTTTATCAGATTTTTCACGTTTACACCAATTTTTACAGTAGACAGACAGAGCGGTCTTTGTTTGTATTCTGCTTCATATGAGTATGAATACAGGTCGGCAAGTAGAGGTGCACAAGTAGTACCCATTGGAATATCGTCTGTCCATCAAACAAACATGTTGTCGATCAAAAGATCCAGCATTGTGACTATTATTATTTTGCTTTATTTGTTTTTGGAATCAATGTGGTTTTTAAAATAGAAAGGTTAAGCATGCCTACAAGAAGGGATTTGTATAGACAATATCAGTTTTTGAAGAAAAAACTCATCAAAAATACTAGTACCAGGCTAATAATTTTAAACGCCAGATTCGCGTTTCGAACCACCATTTTTCCTTAAAATGTCCTGTACCAAGTCAGGAATATAGCAGTTATTATCTACAGTCCGTTTCTATGTAAGTCGGCGTTTGCTTTTGTTGTAGTTCAGTTTTTCTGTTGTTCCGTTGTTTTCCTCTTAAAGTTGATGTGTTTCCCTCGGATTAAGTTTGTAACCCGGATTTTTTTTATTTTTTTTTTTGCTTAATAGAATTATGAAATTATGACTATTGCACAGCGGTATACTACTGTTGCCTTAATTCGTCTTCACAAGACTCATCAGTGACGCTCGAATAAAAACAAATTTAAAGGCTAAATAAATGAGTCGAAACTATTGCGCACATCACGTTGACCATTAATTTAATCAATATTTATAACAAGGTATCTAGGCATTCATATACAATTTAAGCAAATCTATTTTGAATAATAAGCATACGATATAGATAAAGCACCCATTTTTTAAGATACTAAAAACTAGTAACCATACAAGACAAAACACAAAAAAATTAAATATTTTGTTTGTTTCTTTTGAAGCTAGATCATTAATTTTAAAATTCTGTGACATTTCAAAATTCGAATTCAAAAAACGTACGAATAGCTTATAATTACTCAAAGATTGAGTTAAAATCATGCAAACCTATTATTTCTAAGATATTTTTTTAGAAGAATACCTAAAAAAAACTCTGAAATGTGACCGTTCCCACTCGCCTAATATTTACAGCCCCTCTGCCCATGTTATTAGTGGGGATCTAAACATTATTCAACATGAACAATGCCGAAAGGTGATATCTTATGGTCTTAAGTTTAGAGAACCCCAAGACATCAATTGTAACCATAACTTTAAAACAATTATTGATTCAATTGAGGACTATCGAACTAGAGATATAGGTTGCAATTCTGTAAATATAGACAATGCAATTTCCCATAGGAACTCCCTTTGCGGCTAAAACTGCGGCTAAAACTGTGACACTTTTACTATGAAGTTTCGTGAAAAATAATATCCTAGAACGGAAAGTTTATATGCACTACTATTTTATTCAAAGGTCAAAATATAGGGCTGTGCGGCATATTTTCAACATTTATATGCCCTGAACTTCTAAGAG